GCAATTATTTCTGCCATATTCTGCCCATATGCAAACCTCACTGCTTCCATCAAGCTGCTAGTACCAATCAACATTTTTCAGAACTGAGGTTTTAATAAAGCACTGATGGAAAAATGTGTAGAATTCATAAATTCTCTCATGCATGTCCATTCTCTTGGGACCATCTTAGGCTTTTCTAAAGCACCTCCATCTGTACCATCTAAGTGCTGTTCCAAGTAAATCAAATCCAAATGGCTGGCTCCCTAATACAGCCTAGGAAATAATCAGATTCCCTCCCTTCCCTAGTGATCAGAGATTGAAATCCAGTTTTCCCCTCTTTGCCTACACTGAAACTTCCCACCCAGCCACTGTCCAGCTCCAACTCTGATTACTGAAACCTCCTCCCCAGGAGTCTCCAGTACACGCAAAACATACCTGTCTGTCATTGCATTTCTTGTCCTACCTCCTTTCTGACCATATGGGTGCCTCTAGAAACCATTACACAGAATCACAGAATATGAGGAGTTGGCAGGGCCCTGGAAAGCTCCCCCAGTGCAACCCCTGCCACAGCAGGATCACCAGAGCAGTCACACAGGAACACGGCCAGGGCTTTGGGTGTCTCCAGACAAGGAGACTCCACAACCTCTCTGAGCAGCCTGGGCCATGCTCTCTTTTTCCTTTTCCACCACTGCTTCTCACTGTTTATCCATTCACTGACTCTTAAAGCACTGATACTCCTTCCCTGACACCCATTAGAAACCATTACTGCCCATTTGGCTCAGATTTAGTTCTGTACCTCCTCCTATGCCATCTCTGTATCTGGTTTCCTCCATGATACAAAATACACCAGCTTCCCCTCAGAATTCTCTAGAACAATTTATCTTAAGACTGAAGGTCCAGAAAGCCTTAGATTTTATGCAAATACAATGCAACGTCCACGTTTGATGTCTGTGTGCTGCCCTATTTGCATATTCTGCCTTTTAAAATTTTCGTGAAAAAAGTTACTTCTTTTTTCTGATCTTGCTCCCTCACTGCGGTGTCGGGTACACTGCAACACTGCCAGGATGGCTACAGAGAAATGTAAAATAAACAGTGCTACCAGACACTGGGACATCTTTCATTCTGATGAAAATGGGTAAAAAAAACCAACCCAAAATCCACATTCTGCACTTGGATTTATGATTTAGGTATATTACTGCTAGCACTGTAGTGGAATCTCTTCAATCAGAACCTGTAGCCACAAGGAAAAGAAGAGGCAGGAGGATGTGTTCTGTGGTGAAAAGAGGAAATACTGGCTCAGATAATTCAAAGAAAACACTGTTACCTTCACCACAGCTTATTTAGATCCTGCAGCAGAGCAGCTTTGTTCCTTGCCAGGAACACACTCTCACACCCTCCAATCCCTCCTCGTCAAGGCTTGGACTTTGACCACGTGAAGTGTCGACCCTGCCAGAGCCATCCCTCCTCCTACCACCAACCCCCGTGGGGGGAAGAAGTCCTTCCCAGCTGCAGAGCAGCAGAGAGGGTCATTAGGCACCCTGCCCCACCGCACTCCAGCACCTGCATGTGATCTCAGAGGAAGCAGGGAGGCAAAGCTTCGCTCAAGGATCCCTCAGTGCCTACACAAGTGGTTTGGTTGCTGTACTGTGAGGCTGACACAGTCCAAACGAAATAACAGGAATTACAGGGTGAAAGTGGCAAGTTTCATTCCAAAGCCTGTATCAATCCCTTTGTCCTCCCAGAAAAGCAAGACACCCCTAAGAGAAGTTTTTAGCAAACGCAAAGGAGTTGGAATAGTCCATCCTGCTTTAACATCTTCAAGGGATCACTACTACAGGGCTTGGCAGGATGCTCTTCACCATTGCAAACAGCAGTGCAATCCACTTGGGATGTGCTATGTCTCTGGGAACAGATGATTACATAGCTAGGACTTCAGCAGTGAAAAAGAGCATTGCTCTACCAGAAAGCACAAACTGAAAGGAATAATATTTGCTATTATGGTCTATCTGCCCATTTCTCCGACTTCCTTAGCTTAGTATATTTTCCTGAAAAGCTCAGGCTACTCCAGTACTGGCTGATGAGAGGCTAAGCATCCTTCTTGGCCACAGAGAGAAATTTTAAAACAATCTGTAGAGATATATTTATGAAATAGATGGCCATGAAATGCAGAAGAGCCAACTGAATCTCCGGAATCAGAAATGTTATAGGCACACAAGCACCGTGCTAACCCAGTTCTGTCTCTTCAAGGATCAAAGGTGGCTGCCCCAGGAGGTCACACTGATCCCCACAGGCATTCGAGCTTTCTCGAGCCAGCTCCATTTCTTTCATACCCTGCTGCATTGCACTGCACAGATACACCCTGGCATTTCAGAAGTAAACAAAGAAAACGTTCAAAAGAACCATCCCCTAATTCTGGGTGGATGTCAGGTTGATCCTGCTACCTTTGCCATCAGTGTTCTCATCCCTAGCAAAGAAAAGAAGAGAAAAAACAATCCTGGGAGGAATTTCCAGGGCAAACTATTCTCTGCTCAACTGATCCAGAGCTGCACTTAATGAAAGCACTGCCTGCTTTGATGTCTGAGAATAACTCACTACATTTACAACTTCTCAACCTATGCAGGCTGTCTATTCTGGTCCCTGCCCCATGCAGCCGTCAGCGTTACAGCTGCACTTCTGGGTTCTGTCAGGGTTCTGACAGCAATCTAAGGCTGCTCTTTCTTCATTAACTGCAGCTCCCCATCACCTCCACTTGCCCAAACCAGAACCAAGGAAAAGCACAATGCTCAACTTCCTTATGCTTCCTCATGATACCTTTAGTAACTCTTCCTCCAGCCTAAGGGGTCTGGAGGAATGATGGACTGGACGTGTAAAGTGCTAATCAATAACAAGGCTTTCCTTTTGAAATATTGCATTTTCTCCATTTATCCCATTTCCAGCTGCCTCCCCCTGACAACCCTGCACTAATGTTTGGTGGAGAGCATATACTGAATTCCTCCTCAGAGCCCAGGCAATGTGTAGTTTGGGCACATTTTCACAGCAGCTGAAAGCACTACAAGGCCACTACTAAGAGCAGGTTGCTACTATGCAGACTATAGGTGGAACCCAGGCAGCACCAGCCTGCCTCTCAGTCTAGACAGCTGCTCTTACACATCTCCTGCCACTGCCTGGTCAAGTTAAGATTACAAAGCACATTCTGATTATCTGTTTTCTTCTCCTTCCTCTCATTCTTAAGTGGTGGTTTTTTCTTCTCACAGAGCATTAGGAGCCTGGGACAGCTACGTAAGCGGCTCGTAGCACATTGTGCAAGCTAACAGAATACAAATGATTATATAAATAATAAAGCTGCTGAAGATTTTCTTGTCACCGCTTTCTCTGCTCCATTGGCTTGACTTAAAGCACACACAAAAATGGCCTCTGCTAAGTGTTATGTTCATAGCATCCATAAATAAAATTAAGATCCTGATTTAAGGAGACACTAAGAAGCTGTATCTTCTCTTGATTCCAATCCAGCTGGGATGCTCAGTGCCTATGAAAATCAGGCCCAAGGCTCTATAGATGAAAACAGAAGGATCTGATGTCTGTATGACAGTTTCTATTCAGCAGGGCAGTTTTATTTCCTGTATAAGATACTCACATACTGCATACTGCACACATATGTGCATCCCCTTAACTAATCCAGAGATCAGGCAGGAGAGCAGCTCCAGACTCTGACAGCCATCGCTCACATCAAAGGAGTGGCACATAACTTACAACCAAGGTTGGAAGAGCCAAGCATCTGTAGCTTGGTAACTTGTCAGGCATTTACAGCTGCAGAACAACACCAAGTTCAGCGTTGCTGTGTCCATGACTGCTGTATGAAAACCCAGCTCTGCCTTCCCTCTGATTTCAAATGTTCACACGAACGGGATATTATGACAACCTTCCTGGCTGCAAATAAAATTAAACCCATCAAGTCACAACCTGTGAAAAACAGTATTAGTACAGAACCACAACACTGGGGAGGAAACTCTTGCAAGAAACTCTTATTCCAGGCTAGCTAGGAAGTCAACTGACAGAAAACTTAAGGTTGCTTTCAGTAAGCTTTCTATAACATATTTTGGTGGTGTCAGCATCTACATCATCATTTATGACAGTGATCATCACAAATTCTATTAGAAGAGTTGGGAAAGAAGACAAAAGCTGACTGCAGAGCCTAACACCCAAACCACTGCACCAACTTTCTGATTTGGGCTGAAGCTTCAACTTGTTTTTTAAGTGATTTTTCTTTCAAGGAACACTGGTCTATTATTCTGGTTCCTGCCTCTAACCAGGCAGTCCAATCTCTGTTATCCACATGTGGATTTTCTCGAAGTTATGGATTAACTATGTGACAGAGCAGGAAAACAAGCAGGAGATAACATGGCTGTGGAAACCAGCCAGCTATTCCTGACCAATGCAGCAGTGCTCGCCTACGTGGGCTTGCCAATGTCGTGTGCTCCAAGTCCACACACTTTATTATTGCCACATTCTTCGCATTTAATTTATGCATATATTTTATGCCACCCTCAACTTTCATTTTTCCAGTTTATTCTTCCTCTGTATCTTCCTGGTAAATTGACAATCACCAGGTGAAATCCAGCACCTTAGAAAAGAGCCTAAATATGATTCCAATGATGGTTTCTTTCACCCAAAAATGCTGCTTAGTAATCAAAAGCCATTTATCTTTTTTTAAATGGCTATTGCCTCAGTGCTTAGGAGATGGTAATGCTTCCCTCTGAACAGCTAACAGCCTACAGAAGGCACCTCTCCCACTGCCATGGGCAGGTTTTCTGTAATCCAAGCACTAATGGTCTGATTCTGACCATGAGCTTGTGATTTCTTCTGTCTGTCCGAATGACCAGTTTATCCTTACAGAGCCGTTGCAGCATCAGTGTAAAATTCAGCATCAGGAAAAGACATCGAGTGTGTAATAAAAGGCAGGAAAGAGCAATGACTTTGAGAAACCGAAAGCACAGAAACAAGAAGCAATTTGAAGCAGTTACCTCTTTGAGGCAGCCCATGAAGTTGTTGCTCACTGGAGAGCCAGGTAAATCGGCAGTACTGGGGCTCCCTCCCACGTAAAAGAAGTCATCCGAGCCCAGCATGGTGTAGTCCTCTTGTGTGTAGCCCGTGGTGGTAAGGATGCCATCCACAGAGATTGTCACCTGTTCGAGGGACAGAACGGACAAAGAAAATCCCAGCAATGACCTTACAATCCTGAGCAGCACAGGTGACCTCCCCTATATTTTTATGTCAGTTTTATTAAGGATTTTGTTGAGATTTGGTATGGTTTGTGGTTTTTTTAGTTCAGCCAAGCTCCATTTTCTGGTCTGCTTCACCCACAATTGAAATGCTCCAGCATCTGCTTGTCCCCTCTCTGGTGTACCAGCACTGTCAGGCTGACCCCTGCGGTCTACCCATTCAGATGCTTTCCATCTATTCAGGCCAGAAAATGGAACTGTCCTTGAAAGAGATTTCTCACATTAGCTGATTTTATGATTAATTAGTCTTTATTTTAATGATTACAGTTAGTTATGGTTGTTAGTAAAAAAAAAAAAACCACTAATGAAGACGAGGTTGGTATTTTGTATTTTTCATGTTTCTTTTGCTCACGGCACACTGACGGTCATGCATTCGGGGAGGGCGGGGGGGGATCTCACTTTCAATACATTATGGATGTGCATGCCATGTACCTAGGGAGACACACACCCACCACCCCAAAAAAAAAAAAGGATATTACAAACTCATAAGCAAAAGATGAATCGGAAATAAATCAAAAGAAACTAAATCAAACTAAATCAACCACACGGCAACAGGTGTGAGAGAAAGAGAGATGAGAAAGAAAGGAAACATGAAGCGTGCACACACTGCACTTTGACACGTCATGCCAATATATCTGGAGCCCAGAAAGATGACAGGAGAAAAGAGAGAAGAGAGAGGAGAAGGAGAGAGAGAAAACTATTTCACACGTGCATGCAATCAAAAATAAAAATACCAAACAAACCCCATGGTGACAAAAAAAACTCAAAACCAAACAGAAATGTCCCCAGAAACTCTAACCCCGAACACATGGAAGGTGAAGGGGGACAGAAGGAGGGCGAGGAGCAAGTGAATTCGATGTGTTTTTGCTTAGATGTTGTTAGTGGTTTGAAGGGAAGATGGAGGAAAAGAGATCGAGGCCAGGAGGAGACGGGCGAGTCACCAGACGTGGACATGCCATGCAGAGTGTGTACTGAAACAAACAACCGGCTGAGCTCCTGTTGGCCACGGCAGGTAGAGGTCAGAGAGAAAGTGAGAGAGAGCAGGGCAGAGAGAGGAGGAGGAGAGAGGGAAGGGGTGAAAATCAGGAGAAAGAGGACAACTCTGGCCAGTTTGCCTGTAATAGCCGTTGCCACAACAAAAGGATGAGAGAAAAAGAGAGCCTTGACCACCACGGACTAGAGGCCCTGCAATGGTTCTGATCTAGAAACCTTCGGAGTAAAAATAATTAAAAAAAAAACAAAGCAAAAAACCAAAAGGGGAAAAAACAAAAGCAAAATGGAAACCAAAGCAAAAGAGAGAAAGCTAAATTTGAAAGCAAGGGGGAAAAAACCCAACAATTTATCACTGGAATGGAAAAGAACTCAACAGGGAGGTGAAGAAAGCAATGAAAGAAAAGTCCAAACCCCATTTCCAGAAGAGTTGTTAGTTGCTTTTGTTGCTCATTTTTCCATTAAAAAAAGAAAAAATAAATAAAAATGCGTTTTCGATGAAATTAAAATAAAGGAAGAAGTATAAAGGAGGGGGGAAAAAGAGGGGGTAGGGGGAGGAAAAGGCAGGTAACACACGGCAAACCCAAAAAAAGAGACAATAAGAATGATATCTACCAGACAATGTAGTTTGTTTACCATAGCGTGTCCAATGCCTGAGTGCTTTGCGGAAAAGGGGGAAGAAAGGAAATTAAAAAATCGTGAACAGAACGATTGTTAATTAAAATAACTAAAAGCAAAGATGAGTCGTTAGGGTGTTAGTACATTAGTTGGTTAGTAAAAATGACACATTGCATGAATGGTCTAGTGTTAGTCTCTCAAAAAAAGGCGTGGGGCGCCTGACACACACAAAGTGAGAAAGAGGACAATATGACTGGGACTCTATGGGGAACCATGCCATCTGGACTGTAAAGAAGAAGGGTGCTGCCTAGTCTTCCCACCCTGGTATTAGTCATTAACTGTGCAACCCTCATATACATTATCCAGGACTGAAGCAAAGTTAAAACAGTGCAATACTTACTCTTCAAATGCCCATCAAGGTGCATCCCCCAGATAAGAACCTTACCCTCAGAGATGTACACGCACAGTACGCGGCTCGCCCCTTCAGCACAAACCCAAGCATGACTCCCTTCTTCCACCCACCACCATCTCTATATTCCTGCTCCTCTTCCAAGCCTCACTATACCCTCAAATATTGCAGAGCAGCACAAGCAGGCCAATATTTCCTTTGGCTGGAGGATGCAGATGAAGATGAGTCCAAGACTCTGAGTCTTCCTTCCGAGTTTCCCAATCTGCAAGTTTCTTTACAGCAGGTGAGTTTGTGACTTTCAGGAGAAGCCCACAAAAATGCCTGTGCTTGGCTATTTGCCTGTAGCTCACTAATGTCATCTGAGACTACAGGAGCTGAACCTCTCCCGCTGTAGGGAGAAATGTGTTGAGGAATTGTGTAGGAAGAACTGTGTTGCTTGCATCAAGGTTGAAGACAGAAGATTGACAAGATTTAGTGTCTCTCCTGTTATACTGCATCTATATTATAGAGGAGCTAGGAGAATTCACCAGTCACTTCACTTAGTTGGGTTTAGCAGAGCTTTGGAGACGTTTTGTTAATCCCTCTCAACATGCCAACTGTTCAAACCTACACGTTATTTCTTGTTTAATTCGTAGCAGCTGGGGAACTCAAGATCCTTATGGCAGATTTTGCATGGTGACTAGCTTCAGTGCTAATAGTGAAGTGCGGCCCATGCAGGCTCCACGTCCTTGCTCCAGGGTGACTGAAGATGGCAAGAACTACCTTAAATTACACTAAAAAGATCTACGCTGCCTCATGTAAAAACGATCTGCTTGCAAATTCCAGAGTTGTGCACTGGCTAAGGAAATAAGTTTATGAAAACTTTATGGCATTGAGCATAATGTGCCAGATCTATTTTAACTGTCTATGGGAATAAAACAATAATATTCTATACTTGGCTATAAACAGCACAAACTCCTCTGAATTCTTCACCAAGGAAGTCTCGCTCTCAGTGATGCGTTGTGTTAGTAAATCCATTTTTGCAAACAAGGAAACTGGGGAGAAGAGCACGCTAAAATGAGACCAAGTGTCAGCAGCAGATCTGAGGACAGACACGTGAAGTCTGACCTTCAGTCTCCTCTGCTCCTCCTACCAGACCACGCTGCCCCAGACGTGCTCTGAAAGCCCTGGTAAAATACAGCCATGATCCTATTTGTAGTCAAGGTTTCTCACAAGGCAAAAAGGGTTTAGTTTTAACTGAAATAATAAGATAAATAAACAAGGAGATTTGCTTTGACATTAGCAATCACTACTCAAGGGAATCTGTCTGTTCACTTTGTCTCTAAGGAGATTAACTGCTGCGATAGTCATTCGATCTCAAAAAATGCAGCACTTAGTACTCTTCTAGCTTAGCTACGAAACATTTAACAACTGCAGAAAGTACTGGGCAGAAGTCCAGCTATTTAGAATTTTGCTCTAATTCTAGGAACAGCCAAAAAAGTTGCACAGAACCTCCTTCTCCTACCCCAAAAAGAGCAGAGGAAGAGGCACGATGACATCGGGAAGCTCCTGATAGCCCATTTACCTGGAGCTGTTGATGGTTTGTTGGGTGGATTTTTAATTTTTTAGGGTGTTTTTTTTGAGGAAACATGGGCACGGCTGGAAACAAGGCTTACTAGTGACCTATACTATGCTGCGAGTTTACAGGTTAATTTATGTCAGAAAAGATGCAGAACAGGTAATTTCTTACATAAAAAAATTATTTTGAATGCAATAAAGGACAAAACGTAAAGTTTTATAAATTATACACAATCTTTGTCCTTTATTACATCTTACATATGAAGATATCAAAGAACTTCACAGGTTCATAGCTTGTATGAAAAATGGTTGAGTAGGAGACATAAGCTGCTGGAAGCTGCTGTCTGAATGGAGAAAAACAAAAACTCCTCCACTTTATTTAGGATGGTGTCCTTATTTGGTCTTCTTGTTAAATGAAAGATTTATAAGGTCACGATATAGACTGACCATTATCAGTTATGTCCTGAAAAATCTCCATTGCAGGTATTAATTAGTTATCAGCCATTCAACTTTTCAAACTCTTTATCCTGAAGAGGTTTAAGGCTTCTTTATCCTTAGTAATATCAACTAAAAGTAAGAATGCACAAGACTTGCCAGGAAGGCTGCAGCGTGTAAGGTTTTTCCTTATTGAAAACTGTGGTTAAACTTAACAATAATTTTTGGATGCCAACTTTCAGGACGAGCAGGATTGTATCAGTTTCAATTTCTGGGCAGTTTTAGATTCTGGGTCAATGTCCTAATTTTGAGACCTAACACGATCAGAAGTTAAAGTGAAAGCATGCAGGGAAAAGATGACTCAAAAAAAAAATCCAGTCTTGTTGATATTTATTGGTTGAACTGCATTCTGGCATGCCTGTTTATAGAATTGGACCTCAAATCACCTCTTTAATTTGATTTTAAGACCGGCCTTTCTTTGGAAAGAGCACAGCCATCTCATTAAAACATCCTCTTTCTTGCCCAGTCACGTTGGACTCTTTAAGAATTAAAGAAAACATCCATAGTGAACAGATCGGGAGGATTCCAAAGTTGTGGTGCTGCTTAAGTGGCAAGGGGCTCACCTGCTTTCTAATAACTGCCAAAACACTGTCCTGCTCTAATCAAAGACAGGGGCACAGACACATTTCCATTTAACCGTGGACCCAGAAAATAAACAAATCGCTAGCTGAAAGATGAGTAAAAGAAAGGGAGAGCTTCCTGTCCCCCTGTGACCCTTCCTCACTTTCTGCTGCTTCACAATACAAACAAATCCTGGCACAAAGCAAGGATGTGTTTTGCTTCAGGCACATTTTCCCATTGAGAAACAATTTCTGGTGAAAATAAAAAGTATGATTAACTAAGATGACCAGTAAGCTATAGTGAGATATTCAGAGACCAGCCATTCTGAGACCATCTAAAAATAAAAAACCGCATCAAATAAAGCCGTATGTTCTGACCTTTCCAGACTGAAAAACCTCAACCACTTGGTGCACCTCCCTCTACTGAACTGATGGGAACATCTGAATGAAATAGGATCAGTAAGACCCATCCGCTGCACAAGAAATCAAATTTTCATCTGCATATAAACTAGTGAAAACAGACTCGTGTTGCCGTATGTAAGAACCCTGCAGTCTTGTGGAAGTTTGAGGACAGATTCGTCGTCAAAGATCCAGACAACCTGAGCAGGTGGAAATACAGGAATTCACATGGGAAAAACAAGTAAATATCTTCAGTCTCAAACCCGAATATTTAAAAGAAAGATGTTAAATCCCATATCTGCTAACTAATGGAGACTGTTGCTGATCCCTGTCACCAATCATCCTACACTCACACTTTCTCTTAGCTCCTGTAAAATCTTACCACAAAAGCTGTTCTCTCAGCAAATGACATTGTACAAACTTAAATAAAACTATTGAGGACTGTGTTAATATTGACATTAATAAGCAAATAAACAGATCATACTTTTTTCACAAACTGATTTTAAAATCTTAGTTTAAAAGCTATTTCTGGTGCCTCTACCAATCAGATAGACACCAAATAGCTCCTATTCACAGGGTAAACCTCATTTATCATGCAGCAGATGGGCCTTAGTGACTTGATATATTCACCAGCTTTCAGAGCAAGGTTATTTAATTTTATCTTATCTATTTACGTCTGAATTTATATTTCATGAGGAATGCTTCAGGTTTTTAAGACTAACCTACTACCACATACGTCACCTGATAGAGTTGTCTGCTTAGAAAAGCAGCACGCAGATGTGCAAAATTACAGTGGTAAAATCAGAAAAACTTTTCCAAAGTGGAATTGTAGGGTGCTGGATAGATCTGGGTTTGCTTGGCTTTTTTGATCCTTCCACTTTTCCAGTCCTCCCAGCCAACAGAAGAGTCTCATAGGCAGAGACACAAGAAATAAAGTAGAATCTCATTATAGAAAGAAAGGGAGGGGGGAAATAAAAAAGAAGAAAAGAAGAACAGAGAATCAAGAAGACTCAGAAAGACTCCAGCCAATTAATTCCAAAGCTATAAAGTTAAAGTAATTACACATGTACCCACCAGCCTGCATACCTGCACACTCACATGCACGCACAAAAGAAAAAGAAAAGGAAAAACAAAAGACTTCCAAAATTAGAATTATGACATCATGGCAATGGTTAAATAATTATCAAAACTGAAAGAAAAAAGGAGAGAGGTGTAGAGCATTGGCTGTTGGAAAAAGACTCTGTTCCCACAGTAATTAAATGCAACGAGAATATTACTGATAAGATTGAATCATAATTAAGGAAATAATAAAATAAAATTAAAAAAAACGGAGAACGGAAAAAGAGAAAAGGAAAAGGGAGATGAAAGTAAAGTTATGTCACAATTTTTGTTATTAAATCAAACTGGGAAAAACCAGAAAATTAATAGAGTGGAAATGAAGATATCGCAAGAGGGATCGATTCCCATCAGCTACTGTTTTTTCACTGTCCTTTAGATGCAGAGATCCAGAAAAGGCGGAGAAACTCTTGCACTTCCACTGAGCTTCCTCATTTCTCCATTACTCTCCCACCTGCCCACCTCAATAAAACAGAACCACATTTTTCCCCGGTATTTTCTCCCCTTCACCATTACCTGCCGCAGGTTGCGTGTCACCTTAACGTCGTGCCACGCGTTGTCATTGAACTTGCCATTGACTGGCTCCACAATGGCCTCGAAGGCCCCAGACCCCAGGTTAATGACCAACGAGACCGCACCGTCTTTCAGGGCCAGGTTGACGTAATCGGCCGACTTGCCGGTGTGCAGGATGAGCCCGTTGCGTTGCCACGTCTTGAAGGAGAGGGTGATCTCATCGCTGCTGCTCTGGATGGGGTTCTGGGACAGGTCATAGCAAAGGTATTCGGAGCCACGGAAAGTGGCCATGTTCTCATCTCGTGCTGGAACAAAAGGGAAGCAGAAGAAGGATTCAGCAGTCAGCCAAGAAGAGATTTAAGATCATCATGAAATCTCTGTTACTGCTCTGTACGCCTATATATCATGGCATGCTAATGACTGTACAGCTCCTTTTGTAGCAAGGCTATCAAGAGATTTAATGGTTGGGTCCTCCACATAGAAGAATTTCAGCGCTGTGTGTTCAGTTTCACTGCGGCACTGTCACCATAGGGACCATTCAAAAGTATGTGGTACAGCCTAGAAAAAGTACATTTAAAGACACTGCTATAAGACACTTCACATCCTTTTTGGGAGAGCAATGGAAAAATCCTACTATTCATAACACCATTGCATATGCATTGTTCCAAAACAAACCAACATTTCCCAAAGATTAGTATTTAGATTCACCACTAATTTCACCTGAACTTACCCTAGCCCATCTGCCAGGCAATCTACGACAGGCATCAGAATATAATCCTGATAGCTGCCCCTTTCTTCCAACTGAACGAGGGACCAAGCAGACAAGAGAACCACATGAAGTGTCCTATAGTTTCCTTCTCTGAGAGCAGGAGGGAAGCCCACATAAAACAATTTGTCCACAGCCATAATTAATGATGTTGCTGCTAAACACATCTCAGAACATTGCCCGTTTGACCACCTTATCCAGAAAATCCGTACAAGACAAGCATACCCTTTTCATACAGCAAAGATAAATATTGGGGAATTATTCACAGTGTGTGACATGAAACATTTCCTCACTAAGGAAAAAAAAAAATCTCAATTCTATACAGTGGGAAAAGCCATTGAACTCACTTCTTAGCAACTGGAGGTAGCATTTGAATATCATAAAAACTCAGCTTGCAGGAGGGCTCTCTGTAGCCCAATCCTACCAGTGCAATCTGAGGGAAAATGGTACTTACAATGGAGTCTACACAGTTCCCCCCACTCCATATCGTGGCACCTTTCTGACTCCCAGCTGTGAAAGTGAGTCTGAGCATGAACAACTAAATGGTACAAGCTATCACTGCTTACAATCCGCTGCATAAGGCAAGTGCTGGTGCTATTGCCACTGACATTAATAGCCTTTTTCTGCTTCGTTTTGTCTCGTTTAGTAATCCTAATACAGATTAGCTAGAATTTGTTAGTACAAGTCTGAAAGGGAAAATACTTGTTGTCATAGCTGTTCTTGAAAAATAACTACGTGGTGAAATCTGTGCCCTCACAGCATGAAACAGCGGTGACAAAACAGCGCAGTGTTGCAACAGGAACATACATCATCCTCAAGTGATAGGTCTGCTTTAAGCAGAGACTTTTGCAGTCTCAATTAAAGGTATCACAGAATGAACTGATTAAAAAATCTGGGCACTTTGTAGGCAGCAGTAATGTGTGCTTGTACTTATGTGAGCATACTGTGTGTCCACACGCCCCTGCGAGCAAACAGTAAGACAAATAACTCCATGCAGCAGTACAGGTTGGGAGCCAACTGCCTCAAAATCAGTTTTACAGAAAAAGACCTGGGGGTCCCCGTGGACAGGCTGAGCATGAGTCAGCATTGCCTGCCCTTTCAGCAAAGGGCAGCTGCATCCCCAGCTGCATTGGCAAGAACGCAGCCAGCAGGCCAAGGGAAGCTGTTCTTCCCCTAATAGACACTTGAGAGGTCACAGCTGGAGCACTCTGAACAGTACTGAGCTCCCCTCTATAAACATGACCTCAACATACTAGAGCAAGCCCAGCAAAGAGCTACTGCAGTGCTCAAGGTGCTGGAGCAGGTTCCAGTATAAATTGGGGAATGACC